ACCAATTCGATAACTACTTAGAAGTGTGGTCTACTTATCTCTGGATTGAGTCGTACGAAAGTTTGTCAAATTTTAGAAATTCTAAATCGCGATTATCGATCACTTAGACAGCTTAATCAAAATTATTGAATTAATTGCACTTGAGAAAATTTGAAGACGAAGAAGAGGTTAAATAAAAGATAAAGTTGAGGAGAAGACCATAAATTGCCATCTTCTTAAAAAAAGAGAAATAAATGAGGTGTTCTTTTTAAGATATCACTAAGAGAAGCTCTAAACCAATGAAAATGCAACAGTCAAATCAGACCTAACGTATTTATTTATACCGAATGGTAGGCGTTTTGATAGTTATCGTTAGACCTCTAGTTGACTTCAAGCTTCACAGAGAGGAAGGAACATCAAAGTAAAAGAAGTCGAGATGGGGGGTACAGAAGAGTGTTTCAAAGATGTAAAAGAGACAGACACAAAGGTAGACAAAGGTGAGATGAGAACGTGGAAGTAGTCGAATATGATATACAGTGGGGTCATGGTAGTTTGAAGTGAGAAGTCAACTGCCAGTTAATAGACTTTTTAGCCGTATGAGTATACGTTGCCCAGGGTGCACCACGTGGAGGTAAGTCTATTGTACACCCCAATCAGACCTAACTAAAACTTCCACTCCATAAAGTGTAGTTTAAACAACTTTGTCAACTCATTCTCAACGTTTTCATGGCCAGGTAGGATTAATTCAATTTATTGTCATCTGATTCAGACGAAAAATTGTAATATAATTGGAAACTGACTTAATATTTACTAAATTAACCTTAAGTTACTTCGCGGTCTAAAATTCATTGATGTTGAATACACTAGAAAATAATTACAATAAACGGGTTTGCATTAATTTTGGTAACATTCATTAAGTATCTCTTCCATAATCATTACTTAACTGAGAAAATAAGGCTGACATCGTTGCGTAATCTTATGATCTTGCTACCTTCCAGATGCATATTTTCTATCGTTTTGAGTTTTCAATCAAACTCGCTATCTCCAAATATCTCGAGGAAAAATACTGTCTTTATGCTGAGAGTGGTGAATAAATTTCGAAATTTTCAGTATTCAAGTACTGTTCTCCCCTTTTTTTCTCCTAAACGCGCCAGAAAATGACGATGGAACAGTAAAAGGTGTAAAGTATTGAGTTGAGATGGTGAAGAAATCAAATTTGTTTGAATTTTCAAAACCACCAGTTTGTTCGCTTTACCATTATGAAATGGTAGAAGGCTTCATGAAGGAATGAACATTAAGATCAAGGCATAAATGCCCTTAGAGTTTACAATTTTCTAAAAGAAAATTCAAAGTTGACTTGTATTCTGGAAAATTTGGGAGTATGCTTCACTGCGTTATGTTCCAATTTCGATAATTTATGAATTGACTTTCAGGACCATGAGTGAGATTAATTTCAGCTGATCAATTTACTTATTTCCGTGATTGGTCATTTCACGGAGATTTAATCGTGTTTTACAGCCAAAAAATAAGAATAAATTTGACATGACAGAGCTTAAAAAGGTTTACTCAGGTTAAAAGCTAATGAAGTCCAATTACGCGGCAAGTCCTAATATTCCAAAGATGAAATGCAATGATTTGATCTTCAGGTTTCTCAATCAATAACACCTTACTGATTTTCACTCGGCCGTTCTTAATAAGTGGGTAATTACTAAACCTTCCTCTTACCCAGCGTCGAGACAAGGCTTTGACATAACATCAAAGAAACTCATAAAACGGAAATTGACTCTCTAAATTGGACTGTAGTTTGATATTGTGAATGGGAAGGAAAATTCGATATTAATTCTACCCTCATTTTCGATTATTGTATCTCACTATAAGGGTACTCAAACTTGCAGACATATCTGAAACAATCTCTAAATGAATAATTACTCAATTTATTCCATATGCCAAATAGAGTAAATAACACTTTTGAGTAGAGGCAGTAAATCGGGCTTAAAAATTCATCGAAATCAACTTAAATGAGTAAGAGGTATTCCATTTTCTACTTAACTAATATTTAGGGGATCATATGGGAGAATCCTGCGTAAACTGATCAGTTCGCTTTTGAGTGTCTCAATACACTCAACACTGGCGCTTATAGGAGTATCAAAAAGTACCTGAACTAGCACATATTAATCGCAGTGCCCTTTTCAACCTAACCAGTAGCAGGACTTTAAGGGTCTCTTTACACCTCTTGGGAGTGATTGGAAAGAATTGATAACTAGATTCTGAGATGCAAAAAAAGTATTTTCGATTAATTAGTCAGAAATATATTCAAATTTGCCAATTTCTACTTTATTTGCACCTCCCCTGATGAAATTTGCAATAGAAGATATGAACGATGTGGAGCAAGAGTTTCAAGTTACCCCTTGTTCTAATCAGGTGTGCACTAGACTAGCAACGGTTTTTGAGTTTATTGGATCGATATTTATGCTTGCAAAGAACGTAGTAAGAGCAAGTCTTGTAGTATCTAACACCACTTGAAGAGGGGGGGGGTCATGTGAGGCGGTAGGTAGATAAATGGGCCACCATCTAAGCAGGATTACGTAATATAAGGTAGCCGTGCTCAAAAAGACCGGCTATTGCTTCGATCGTGGAGATTGCCTGGCGGCCAGGCCTTCAGTAGGTGGTTTACTGAGAGTTGGTAGCACGTTGGTCTTGGAGCGATTAACCAATCAGAGGGTCTGTAGGGGTCTGCTCGAGCTTTGATGAGGCAGTGCCATAAGAGTGAGAGAGTTAGCATGGTGTACGCGCACGGACCGCGTATGATGCATACGTGTCTCCTAAAAGAGAGTGCGGAGTGGGCATGTGTGGTGCGGACGTGTCTGTCTCACATGCGATTGCTAGCGTGGGTACGCTTACGCGTGCTTTGACCCACGCCAAGGTTGCGCTCTCATTGGTGGAATCTTGACTGCATATTGCAAGCAGGGAGGACAACTCGCATTAAACCAGTCGCCTCATTTGGCGGATTTTTGTCGCGGGATTGTGTGTGAAGCCCCGTCTCTCTTTTTGTCTATTACGCCACTGCTTAAATTCTGTATATCTCTGCTTATTCACTTTTCTACTATGCTCGATTCCCTTACCAATGATAGTGTCTTTTCAATAACTTCCCCCTTAGTTCAGAACATGGATTCCAATTCTATAAAGAAACCTGTTACCATGAGTACTGAGGATGGGGAGGAGATTATTGTTGTTGAACCTACTGATCCGGATGAGGATAGACGCAATCTGGAAGCCGTCTCAGCTCCTGCTTCTCAACCCAGTACTCTAAATTTCTTCAGAAATGATATTACCGCAGATTCCACTATGCTCAATCAACTCATTCAAGCTATAAGTGCTAAATCGAAGACGGAAAATGCTTTAAATCAGTCACCTCGAATAATTGTTACTCCAAATTCCAGTGTTTTGTCCATACAACGGACTACTCAATGCAGTAATGTAACTCCGCAGCAGTCACAAGCGTCTTTCATGGTACAACCTTTAACTAGTTTTCAGGCAGCTCAACTCCTCAATCTTTCCTCTACCCAACCAGCTATTTCTCCTTCACAAAATCTTTTCACAAATTCTGGTATACGCACTCTCCTATCTGGTGATTCTCTTACCTATGGAATAGCCGTTAACTGTTCCACCGCAATCATGTTAGCTCAATTAGCAAATAATATTTCATCTTCCATGTTGAATCTATCTCAGCAGTGCTCTGGGGAAGGAAATACAAATAATATGTGTCTCCAAATCTCGGAAATTAGTCAACTCCTTGGAGTTTTAATCAGTCTAGCAACCTCTATGTCTACCTCTCTTCCGGGTTTGTTGTCATTAAGGAATAACACAAATGCACAGTCTTTGGTCGGGAATTTACCACAAACTAGCCCGATTTTAACGAGTTTAATTTCTGCTAATCAAGACTTAAACTCTACCCAACCCACTAAGGAGGTTTTAGCAAAAGTCGAAGCAAAATCAGATATTGAAATTATTCCCAAACCTGTTCCTGCTCAAGAAACATCAGAACCATTGTCTTCTTCAACAAATAGTGGAAAGCGCAGCCCTCCTGTTGCTGGAATGTTAACTAGGAATGGGGTTTTGCTGAAGTCCGTTAAAATCCATTCTCGACCCAAGAAACATATCTGTCCCTATTCAGGGTGTGGCAGAGCTTTTCAATCTAGATACAACCTTGTGGAGCATATCAGAATTCATACGGGTGAGAGACCATTTGTTTGTCCAGTTGCTGGATGTACTTCGCGGTTTAAAAGACGGCGTGACCTACATGAGCACTCAACTTTGCATGAGGATAAGCTGAAGGTTGAAGCATTGCTCTCAAAAACAAAAAAGACGCTTCTTGTTACTTCTGTTCTGTCTGAAAAGGAGAAGTTGGAAAAGCCTGTTAATGGAATTCGATCTCAATCTCTATTCTCCTGTCCATTTCCTAATTGCAATGCTTCCTATGCTAGAAGACATCGTCTTTATCAGCATATGTGCAAGCATATTGGAATTGGGCCCGTGTTCTGTGATTACCCTAAATGTACGCTGCGATTTTTCAATGCTGAGGACTTGAAACGTCATAAAATCTCCCATAAATACCCCTATCGTGTTGATGAAAAGAAGAATCACATCTGCCTCTTTAATAACTGCGGAAAAGTCTACTCTAAAATGAACAAACTAATGGAGCATATTCGGTCTCATTCTGGCGAAAGGCCATTTGTTTGTGATAGAGAGGGCTGCAAAGCTGCATTCAGTCGACAGTATGGATTAAAACGGCATTTAGCAATTCATTCCACGGAGAAAAAGGAGAAAGTGGAGACCCCAGCAGTGATTGAAGATTCCACTAAACCGAGTCTTATTTCATCAGCACCATTGGTTGTGTCGAGCTCGACTCCTGTATTCCCACAAACTATTGGCTTGGTGTCACAAGCTCCTCCTAAACCTCAGGCAACTATTTTGAATCTATTCCAAGCATTAACATCTTCAGCTCCAGTCCAGCTCCAATCAATAGTAACAACTGCGCCAAAGCATACTACTACGGAAAATGTACTTAACTCAGCTAGTAAGCTTCCTCCCCCTCCTGCTAAAGTGCCAATAAGTGCAGTATCAGCACCAGTTACAGCTATCCCTAATCGAAGTCCTAAATCAAATCTAGCTCAACGCTCCAGCAAAGCGGCTGCAACTCCATCAGCATCCGCCCTGGCTGAAAAGGCATTGGTTGTTACTTGTGCATTTGGAAAGCGTCGACACGTTTGTCCCGTTGAGAATTGTCAAAAAGTGTTCCCAAAATTGAACAAACTTCGTGAGCACATCTGTCGACATACAGGTGAAAGACCCTATGCTTGTCAGGAGTGCACTGCAACATTTGTCAGGATGTATGACCTTCGTCGACATGCCCAAATTCATACTCGCAAGAAATTGGTATTCTAAGATGATTTCGTCTACACTAAATACCCTCACTCTACCACACTTTATTCTGTGATGTTGAGCCTATATATATTCCCTCCTATTCACTATGTTCTTTCCATATTTGTAGCTTTTTTCTGTGTTGTTATGTATGCATTTGTCTGTATCTATCACTGACTTGAGTATACATTAAAAAAATTGGCTGTGTCTCAGATTGACTGACTTCTATTCTATGCGTATTTTAGCAGCTTAATGTGGTTGGTCGGACAGGGAAAATCGATATTCTATGCTAAGCGAATTAGGTAGGTTTCCTTGGTATGTTTTTGGTAGACAGATGTGTCTTTCTATTGATAACTATGGTTAAGTCAACATAGGCGGTAGATGACAGTAATCGCTAATGTGCTACTATTACTCAGATAATCGTCATAAAGACCACTATTCCAAGATTATGGTTTTTCCTCCTTATATCATCTTATATAGTTTTAAGGGGCCTTTAATGTATGATACTGGGCGTTTTGACCACTGCTGTGATAGGTATTTCACGCTTGGTTAATTACTCTAGCTTGATGTGAGCTCGATTAATGACTCTTAAGGCAAGGAAATTCTGATATCTTCCTTTCCAAAGTCACCTAACTTTCCTTCCCCATGCGCTTACTTAGCTCCAGTTGTCCACAGTATTTGATTAATCTATTTAGGTGAACAGGGCGTTAAAATCGAAGCATTTCACACCTCTTACTCTTTTTTCCATAAGTAACATGTTGCCTAAAAATGATTTTATATGCCTGGTCTGACCATGGATTGACTAATTCAGATAATAACTGAATAGAGATTAGTTCCACTTTGGACTATTGATTATTAAGGCTATTATTTCTCGGGAAAGTGGCATGGTCGGTAAGCAAAAGTCTTTCATTCACTCATTTCAAATGGCAGGCGTTTTGATAGTTACCATTAGCCCTTTACCTAACTTCGGGCTTCACAGAGGGAAGGAACATAAAAGTAACAGAAAGTCGAGAGGGGGGGGGGGACAGAAGAGACAGACCCAAAGTTAGAAAAAGGTGAGATGAGTACTGTTGAAGTGGTGGAATATGACATTGAGTCAGGTCATGGTAGTTTGAAGTCAGAAGTCAACTGCCAGTTAATAGACTTTTTAGTCGTATGAGTAGACGTTGCCCAGGGTGCACCACGTGGAGTTAAGTCTACCGCACACCCCTGTAAGCATTAGTTTGCCAACAGAAGACATTCTTTAGAAATAAAGAATTTCTATCTACTCCCCTTTTTGTCATCTTTTCTCTGCAAGTAGTATGATTCTATGACCTGACAAATACCCATTTTCGTAAAGTCTGATTTATATGACTTGCTAGGTAAGGCACTCTCTTGTGGTATGTCCGGGTGGAAATAAGTCGATATCTTACATAGCTTCTGTTTACAGTGTGTATCGATTTTCAGGTAACCGATGCTCATTTAGCATTTACAGGATTTGTCCCCCTAACAATCTATTTTTTCTGCATCGTGTATTTATGAATAGGTTTCTGTAAGGCGTTTTCTCAATTAAATATTAGATAAGGTATGAGAATGACTAGCAATTGTCAAGGCCAAGTCATTGCCAGGATAGCGATAACCTGATTAATCATCAGTATATGCTGCTAACCGAATAAATTAGCATTAAAAACGCGCACAGCGCCAGAAGGTGGTGGTTCACCCCTAATAGGCATGTAGGTGACATCATATGGTCCCCTTCGGTGTCATGTGATGTTTTGATGACCCTCACCTCCCTCCCCCCTCCCATTGTCACCGTTCTCGTATATCCTAGAGATTAAGGTGTCAGTGAAAAACCACGGTTTAGAGTAATCGAATCGATTCCACATTGACTGCATTCTCGCTGTTTGTGCATCATGGAACAGAAGCATATCAATAGACTTGAAGGTAAAATAACGATGGGCAGTTAATTCAAATTCCCAGAAAACTGCGAGCAGTTAGTCTAATTGCCTTCCGGATACCTACATCAAACATATATTAGGATATGCGCACAAGCGCGACACTAATTAGTTTAACTGGGCACGCATCAGATCAAAATGCCAGTGTTGACAGGCCTCGATATGTCCCTTCTAATAGCTATGCATAGCTAGCAGTCCAGGAGGTCCATACGACAAAAAATGAGGAAAAAACTTTTTAAAAATTTAGCTTTGGTTTACTATATATGTAGAGCTGTATAAACAAATATAATGCTATGAAGGAGCAAGAGTTCAGACAACTTTAAATTAGTCAGTTGGTTTCGGCTAAACTTGTTCTGACCAGGGGTGTTTGATTGACTTACCTCCACGTGGTGCACCCTGGGCAACGTCTACTCATACGACAAAAAAGTCTATTACCTGCCAGTTGACTTCAAACTACCATGACCCCACTGTATGTCATATTCGACTACTTTCACAGTACTCATCCCACCTTTTTTCCACCTTATCTACTTTCCTCTTTGATACACTCTTCTGTTCTTCCCCCCCCC